GAATTCAATTGTTAAGTGCATGGCATGTAGCTTTACAGCGAACTCACTCTAAATTGGGTATAATGCGGTTGCGTCGACTCACAAAATTTTGCTTGATAAAGTACCATAGAGCAGGCAGATCCTGAACTGGACATATTTCATGCAGGTTGCGACGCGGCACAAATTTAACTAAATACAAATACTCAGGATTAATGGACCTGACCTTAGCCAATTTGCTGCCTTTGCTTATATTATATTCGGCCTGTACCGGTAGAAAACTCTCGCGTGGCAACTTGGCTATAAAACGATGCTCGAAAAGTATTTGAAACAGCACCGAGGCGGAGCGATAGATCAGATAACCGATCTCATTCGAGCAGGTCAAATGCTATAAAAATAGTATAGATAAGGAATTGGAAAGGGTATAGCATGTAGCAATACGCACAATATAAATTGGGGGCGGCAGCGCCAGAATCATTTCACAGCGTCCCCAGTTGTAGAGGCTCGTCTGGAATATTATCGAGTTGATCAAGTGCTTAAAGAACGGATAGGAACCCACGGCGCCAAATACAAGCATGTTAACATCTGCAAAAAGAAGCCGTATAGAATAGTTAATCGAAGTGCCAGAAATTAAACACATATTCATACATAAAACTGATCAGCAATACTTGTTTCCATGTTAAGCCACAGATTGATTTCTTATAAGGTATACAATAATGGGATCGGAGATGCTGCCTTCTATGTTAAGGATTGCTCAGAAAATCACTTGCCTTCGTTAAATGCGCGCTGTGGTGCGTCGCTTAGCAAATCGACCAGGCGCGTGCCGCTGTCCATCTTATCCATGAATGCCAGCTTCCATAGTGAAACAAAATCGCCGTGCCGCACCTTGACACGATCCGGATACAACGCATGCAACTCCTGTAGACGGGGCATAAAGTGTTCCATCGATTCGATCAGAATGATCTTACGAAACTGTGTTTCCCGGTCGAGCAAATGCTTTGTAAAGTGACCCGGTCCGGGATTCAGTTCCAGCACAGTGTCACATTTGGTTTGCCTCAAATGTGGCTCCAAGCAATCATTGATCTGCTGAGCTATCTGGGCATTGGCCACATACATGTGGGGGGCACTCTTTTGCTTTTTGGTGAGCAGCTTTTCTGGAAATTCGCCGCTATAGCGTGTCACCCGCTCCGCCTGCTCGGCACGCTTAGCCTTCGTGCTTTGATAGCAGTTGCTCAGCTTTTGAATGCTTCTCGTGCTGCACAGCTTTAAGCTGCAGCGCAGCGACATCATTTTAGTTAAGTTATTCAGAGTAAATAAATAATTCTTTTAGAATTTCTGCGCCGTACCATCGGTCTGTTTTTGTTTGTTTACAGCACTCACATCTTTTTGGTCTTCGCAGCACTGCATCGGTACTTTTCCAACACTTGTTTTGTTGGTTATGTTTACAAATACACCAGTTTTACAGCTGCTTGAGCTTTGGGCAGAGAAACCAATAAATTTAATTTAATTGTTAATTAAAATAAAACTATTTAAAAATGGGCAAGGCCATGTCTATGGTGGCACGCAAAGCTAATCGTTTTAATGTTGAGAATCGTGCACATCGCTTGCTGGAACGCGAAAAGCCGACACCGGCACCAAAATATGAGTCCAATTTGCGCGACATGGAAAGAACTTTGGAATGTAAGCACTCCTGCCAGCTAAAAGAATATGTTTTGTACGCATTTTGACTTGTTCTCTATCTGTAGTGGATCCAAAATTTGTGGACAAACTCAACACAAAGGACGCTGGCTTGGACACACGACTAAAAGATGTTTATGTAACATCGCAGGATCAATTTGTGGGTTAAACAAAATTCATGCTACGAGCTATTTAATATAACCATGTTAAAATGTAATTAGATTCAACGAGTTCTGGAACGTCAAGAAGCCGCTACCAAAGAAGAACGACCGCTGCCTTTGGAGCGCACCACACCCGATGATTTTGAGTATGGATATATGGAACCAACACGCACCTCACAAGGCCGTTGCACTCTGCGGCAGGCACTGCAGTTTATCAACGATCATCAGCTAGATCCCGAAGAGTGGACAGCTAAGAAAATAGCGAATGAATACAAAATAAAGGAGTCGCACGTCGGTAAGTTTAGCGAACTTTATCTGTATCTGAATGCTAAAGGCTAACTCACTTTTCCTGTAGAGAATATACTTTACTATTTCAAGACGTTTAGCGTCTATATACCTGATCAGAAATACAAGGACAAAATGTTGACGCAATCTAAACCAAAACTTATACAGGATAAGCCAAGTATAGTGGACGATGATAGTAAAACTTAGTTAGAATGCAAATTCGAAAAAATCGATTGTCTTAATAGTTAAAATACTTGTTATTAATTTAAAACTATGTTTTATTTTACAAACTGCGACTGCGCTTCTTATGGATCACACAATGGCATTGGATGGACAGTTATAAACGTTGAGAGACTTGTCTTCTGAAGCTGATATTACTTTGTCGTTGCTAGGGCTGTAGCGTACTCCCCAGACTTGATCTGTGTGCTCATTAAAGGTGTGCAGACATTTACGCTCCGCTGTATCCCAGACTTTTACACTGCGATCACTGGACGAGCTGGCAAAGTGCTTGCCGTCCTCCGAGAAGGAGACGCACAGCACCCAGGAGGCGTGGCCAGAAAGTGTACCAACCACATCGGAATGTGCACTGAAATTTGGATAGCTTTAAAGTATTCTGCTTGACTGAAAAGAAAGAAATTAACTTACACATCGTACAGCTTCATGTGTCCATCATCAGAGCCGGTTAGCAACATTTGGGAGTTTGGCGAAAAACAAAGGCTGCGCACAGGCATGGCGTGGCCTTCAAGCGTTTGCGCTACTTTGCCAGCAGCCACATCGAAGATGGTAATGATGCCATCAATTGCGCCATTTGCGATGTACTTGCCATCAGGACTCTAGAAATGTAACAAATACCCTTTATAGTAGTTTCCGCCAAGATAAACAACTTGTATACATACATATGCAATGCTGAGAGTGTATTTGCCATTCTGGGCATCCAGCACTTGTTCGGCTTTTCCAGTTTCCACGCTGTACATAGAGATCTTGCCATCGTTTAAGCCAGAAATGACATACTTGTTGCACGGCGAGAAACCCACCGTCCACAAATCAACTGGACCGAATGTTAACATATGTTTCTTATCGCCAGTCCTGGCATTCCAAAGGCACATGCTGGAGTCCAACGAGCTGCTGGCAATTGCTGTGAAAATATCTATTGTACATTATCCTTTGAATTATCGACTAGCGCTTACTTTGACCATCAGAGCTCACGGCAACGGACACGACACCAAGAGCATGTCCCTTTAGCTTGTGTCGCAGTTTCAGTGTATTATCTTCACGTACATCCCATACTTTCACCAGGTCGTCCAGACCCCCGGTCACAATGAAATCCGTTGGTTTTCTCTCTTTTTTGTCAAAATCAAAAGGATTTTCTTCCTCTACCACATCCTCCCCGTCGTCACTAGCCGGCTCCGGGTCGCGTCCCCAGGCGCATGCCCAGAGTGCATTGTCGTGTGCATTTTCCTCTTTGTGTAACAATGAAAACTACAAAACAATTTTTTACAATTTAGTTTTATATTTGCCTGGTATATCACTTACCATTCTTAATGGAAATGCTTACAACTATTATATTTTGGCAAAATTAGCTTACGACAGAGTTGCAAGAATAGTTCACCAAACGAGTCACTAAATTGAACTAAATCATTAGAGTCGATTTTTGGATCTGGAGCTGGCATCAATTTATCGCATCAATTTATTTTTTTAAGCCCATAACACAATAATTTTTATTGCAGAATTGTAAAATAAAATCAAATGGTAGCTGTCTATACTCATAAATTGTTTGATTTCAGCCTTAAAATATTTTTAACAATGGGGGATTATACCTGACAAAAGATATTAGGGTTCAAGAGAAAGACTTCTTTTAGGGCAACGGGGTTTGTCCCACTGTTGTACAAATATCTTAAGCACGGCCCAATAAATATTGATAGTTTTGATAGTTCGAAGGTTAGATAGGTGATAGCGTTTAATCATTGTCTCTGAATTAAAAAATGTAATAAATACTGAGAATCTATTTGCCCATATTAAAATTCGAAAACAAATGAACATAGAACATAGGCTGTGAATAATTTTGTTTTGTACAATTTTCCATCAAGATTTATTTGATTATGTACTTAAAAACATCATTAGATGATTCCGGTTCCGGAACCAACTTCGAAATATCGACGCAGAGACCTACGCTAGTTTGACGCACGTAATTTGACCCACATGTTGTAAACAAAACAAAATGCCTACAGCTCAGCCGATAGTAACTGTTGTACGCGCTGGACGCCAAAGTTACGCAGCTGGACTGCGGTTGCAAGAAGAGCTGGCAAAACAAAATGTCTCGCAGTATGCGGAATTTCGTAATTTTCTGCTGCTCCTGGAACATGATCCCGTCTACACCATAGGCATACGAACCAAAGGCTACACATCGCAGGACGAGGATCGACTGCGCAAGCTGGGCGCGGATTTCCACCGCACAGATCGAGGCGGTTTGATTACATTTCACGGTCCCGGCCAATTAGTTGCCTATCCAATTGTAAATCTGCGTCAATTCACGCCAAGCATACGCTGGTATGTGGGCACGCTGGAGCGCACTGTGATTGAAACCTGCCGTCAAATGGGCATAGCAAATGCGACCACCACGAAGGATACGGGCATTTGGGTGGGCGATCGTAAGATTTGTGCCATCGGCGTACACGGTTCGCGTTACGTCACAACACATGGCATTGGCCTTAACTGCTCGACTGATTTGAAATGGTTCGATCACATTGTGCCCTGCGGAATTGAGGGCAAAGGTGTAACTTCTCTCAGCGAGCAGCTGGGACGGCACATCAGCATGTCCGAGGCGACTGAAGCGTTGCTGGACAGCTTTGCGAAGACTTTTAAATGTTGTGTGCAAGAACAAACACAGGCACGAGTCACAAATTAACAATATATACCTATGTTTTTGTGTATTTTAGTAAAGTATTTAGTTGAACCGAGCTTTGTTTAACTCGCATTTCTTAGCACGCCCATCGCTGTGAATTTTACCACGCATTTCCATTTCTTGGCGACCCTGCTCTCGCAGTGCCGCTTTTCGCATGCGGCGTTCCTGACGTGACTCCAGTGCGCCGTTTGCATTAAAATAGCGGTCTCTAAATTCCTGCGTAGACGGAGTAGCGAGTTGTGTTACACTGTCACTGGAGCTAGCTTCTTCAATGTATTCCATATGTTTCTCATAAGTAAGCAAACGACGCGCTGTGTTGCCTGCCAGTTGTTGCTCCGAGTTGGCTACTAGGCGCAGATGTGTATGTTGAGGTAGCATTGTTTCGCTGTAGTCCTCACTGCAAGCAGGTTTAATTAAAAACTTTAATTCGCTTGGATTTGGAGACTAACGTACGCACCGGTGAAAGGGCAGCCAGCAAACAAGTCGTCCGCCAAGTTTTAAGTGTGTTGCGCCAAACTGCAGCAGATCTGCATATAAATGCTGAAGGGAATAATGTGAGGTTGAGGGATAATGCGCCATGGTTGCCGTTCTTGTATTCTCCTTGGGGTTAAGCTTATTCTCCACTTTTTCAGTTGCCTCGCGTATTCCATATGGAGCTAACAATAAATAAATAAACTTAAGTTCTACTAAATAGCTAGTCAACAATCGGTGTACCTACGATCGGTGATGATGCTATCAAAGGTAATGCGTCTATGCCAGAGTGGATTCGAAAAGTCTGCGACCAACACATCCATGTAGCGATCCGCACAGCCATACTGCTGGAGGTTGGCGCGTATGCTCTCATCTTTGTCGCGCACTTTTTGAGATATGCGACTGGGCCTGCAGCGTGCATGCACCATCATAAAGTCAATATCAGCGCCTAGGACATAGCCTCCAAATTTCGCGGCACTCACCAACAGCGAGCCGGTGCCCACAAACGGATCAAAAACCAGGTCCCCATCACGCACCATTGCCTGGTTGGCCATAAGAAGACTGAGTTGTGCATCCATGCTGGTATTGCCAATGAATTTGCGTTGCTTTAGCGAAAGCTGCTTAATTAAATGTCGCTGGCCCTGGGCCATCATGCGTCCAAAGAGAATATCTTCGGGTGTAACAGGCACAGCAGTAGGATCCAAGCCCCAAAACTCCAGATACCACCACTCGACTTGTGGATTCTTAAGATCGACTGTTCCTTCGATTGGAAGATAGTCCATGGTCTCGATCTTTTCAACCTTTTCCTGTTGGCTAAAGTGCTTGTTGTATGTTTCTACAGTAATCTTAAAACTTTCCGCTTTGAAACACTCTTTAAGCGGTTCTTGATGCAAGTCCACGTGAGCTCGTAAACGTCTATGGAATTCAGGTAACGTGTGCGCGTGCGAGAATAGCTCGATGATAGACCGCAGTGCAATCGATCGGGAGGCGTACTGCAGTGCTGTTTCATCATTGGGAAACTCCACTAGCCAAAAAGGTTTCTATCAAATATTTATTTTATTAAATGATTTTCAAATCGAGAAGGCGTTGTTAGTTACCAAACGATGTTCCGACAAATTTCGAAATTGTAGGCCAAACAATTTAACAAGCGATTCGAACTCTGCGACGCGAAAGTCAACGTGCTCCTGGGCAAACCAAAGTATATATTTTTTCCATAACTTTGTCATTTTTTCTAAATTGTAAATATTATTATGAGCATTAGCATGTGCATTTGTTGTTTTTTCTTTATTTAGCTGTCAAAATATCGATATATTCGTATGAGCTATCGATTGCACGGATAACGTGCAACTCTGTCAAACATCAACTCGGTCATTTTGCATAAATTTCGGAGGCACACGTAGGCGAGCTGAAGATTTTTATAAATTTTCTGCTACATCAAGCCTCATAGCTGCCCAATCATAGTGAAAAATACAAGTTAAAGTGTCAGTGCATTAAATTGTAATCAAGTTAAAATGGCACGTTACACTCAACGTCCTGAAAATGCTCTGAAACGAGCCAATGGTAAGTGCATGAAAATTTTCCATGCGGCAGCGAATTAGCTGACCAAAGCGAAATGTCAAAAGTGACACACGCTCTATTGTGAATGCCAATTTGAAACCGTTTCTTTCTCTTTCTATTGTGAAGAATTTATTGAGGTGGGAAAACCTTTGCGTGCCCTGGACACGTTGCAGGAGGTTTTCCGCAACAAGAGGTGGAACTATGCCTACTCGGAGACGGTCATTGAGCCGCTCATGTTCAAGTACCTGTACTTGTGCGTGGAGCTCAAGAAGTCGCATATCGCGAAGGAGGGTCTCTTCCAATACCGTAACATGTTCCAGCTGGTCAATGTGAACTCACTGGAAAATGTGATACGCGGCTACTTGAAGATGGCCGAAGAGCACACTGAGGCGGCTCAAGCGCAATCATCGGCCGCCGTCGCGGTGCTGGAATTGGATGATCTGGATAACATTGCGACACCGGAGAGCATCTTGATGAGCGCCGTTTGCGGCGAAGATGCCCAGGATCGTTCGGATCGCACCATTTTGTTGCCATGGGTCAAATTCTTGTGGGAATCTTACTGCCAATGCTTGGAGCTGCTGCGCGTGAACACGCATTGCGAAGCACTCTATCATGATATTGCGCGCATGGCCTTCCAGTTCTGCCTGAAGTACAATCGCAAGAGCGAATTCCGGCGCTTGTGCGACAAGCTGCGCAAGCATCTTGAGGACATTTGTAAGAGCAGCAATCAAACAACGGGCGTTTCTATTAATAAGGTCGAAACGCAGCAGCTGTGCCTGGACACCAGGCTCTACCTGCTGGACTCGGCCATTCAGATGGAACTGTGGCAGGAAGCCTACAAGGCAATTGAGGACATTCACGGCCTGATGGCCATGTCCAAGAAGACGCCGGTGCCCAAAACCATGGCCAATTACTATCAGAAGCTAGCTATGGTATTTAGCAAGGCTGGTAATCAGCTATTCCATGCAGCCGCTTTGCTCAAACTATTTCAGTTGACGCGTGAGCTCAAGAAGAACTTGACCAAGGATGATCTGCAGCGTATGGCAGCTCATGTTTTGCTGGCTACGCTATCGATACCATTGCCGTCAGCGCATCCGGAATTTGATCGCTTTATCGAGGCGGATAAGAGCCCACTTGAAAAGGCACAGAAACTGGCTGTGTTGCTGGGTCTACCCCAACCACCCACACGTGTCTCCCTTATTCGTGAAGTTGTAAGTAAATAGACTTGCATATTGTTGTTTAGTATTGGTTTTACCATTTGTTCCTTTAGGTGCGTTTGAATGTGCCGAATTTAGTGTCGGACGAGTTCCGAAACTTGTACAACTGGCTCGAGGTGGACTTTAATCCACTCAACCTATGCAAACGCATTCAGTCTATTGTGGACACCATTGAGAGCAGCGAAACAGAGAATACACTCCTTACGCCATACATTCAGTCGCTAAAGGATGTGACTATTATGCGTCTGATTCGCCAAATCTCACAAGTTTATGAGAGCATCGAGTTCAAACGACTACTTGAGCTGGCGCCTTTCTGCAACATCTTCGAGATGGAGAAATTGTTGGTGGAGTCTGTCCGTCACAACGACATGCAGATACGCATCGATCACCAGCGCAACAGCATTTATTTTGGCACCGATCTAACTGAGAGTCAGCGCGAATATCGTCCTGATGGACCGACGTTGCAGTCGATGCCATCAGAGCAGATCCGCTCGCAATTAGTCAACATGTCAACTGTATTGACCCGAGCCGTGTCCATTGTCTATCCAAATCGGGAGCGTGATCAGAGAGCCAAGCTGCGCACCCAAATGGTACAGCACTATCATGAGATTAAGGATCGAGAGCATCAGCGCATTCTGCAGCGTCAAAAGATCATCGAAGATCGTAAAGAGTTTATTGAGAAGCAGAACAACGCGCGTGAAGAGGAAGAGGCGCGTCGCCACGAGGAGGAGTCGCGCAAAGCGAAGCTGGCCGAACAGAAACGACTGGAACAGGAGCAAGAAGAGCGCGAACGCAAGCGTCACGAGAACGAAATCCAGGCCATCAAGGAGAAGAGCCTTAAGGAAAAGGTGCAGCAAATATCACAGACTGCACACGGCAAGAAAATGCTATCCAAGCTGGACGAGGAAGGCATCAAAAAGCTCGATGCTGAGCAGATCGCGATGCGTGAGAGCGAGGAGCTGCAGCGAGAACGTAGGGAGCTGCAGTCCAAGCTTAAGTCGCAAGAGAAGAAAATTGATTACTTTGAGCGTGCCAAGCGCATCGAGGAGATACCGCTCTTTGAGAAATATCTGGCCGAGAAGAATGTCAAGGACAAAGAATTTTGGGAGGCTACAGAACAAACTCGCATTGAGAACGCAATTGCCGAACGCAAGGATGCTGTCAGTCAGCAGGATCGCCTTAAGCGCATGTACCCCGATCGCGATGAGTACCTCGATGCACTCAAAAAGGAGCGTGCTTCCCTTTACGTGGAGAAGCTTAAGAAGTTTGAAATTGCTCTCGCCGAGGAACGCAAGAAGCGTCTGGCTGATCGTGTGGTGCGTCGTCGGGAGGAACGCCGCCAGGCATATCTGCGTGCTAAGGAGGAGGAACGCTTCCGCAAGGAGGAAGAGATACGACATGCTCGCGAAGCTGAGGAGCGCGCCGCAGCCGAAGCACGTCGTTTGGAACGTGAGGCCGAAGATGAGAAACGTCGCCAGCAATACGAAAAACAGCGTGCCAAGGAGGAGGAAGCCGAACGCAAGATCCTGGAAGACCGCGAACGTCTCGCCCGCGAAGTCGCCGTCGAGCGTGAGCGCAGCGAAAAGGAGCGTGATGGGTGGCGTCCACGTGCCGACCGGGCTGAGCGCCCCAGTGCTGCACCAGCCGGAGGTGCCAGCGAGTGGCGTCGTAATGCTCCTCCAACTGATCGCAATGAACGCACTGATCGCGGCGATCGTAATGATCGTAACGACCGTAACGACCGTAATGACCGTAACGACCGTAATGATCGTAATGATCGAAATGATCGAAATGATCGCAACGATCGCCCCGAGCGCGCAGAGCGCAAGGATAACGATGGTGGTGCTGATTCGTCTTGGCGTGTGCGCCGCGAACCAGAATCGCAACGTGGACCGGGTGCTGGGATGGAACGTGCTGAGCGTGGTGGTGGCGGTGCTCCATCTGGCCGCGATGACAAGTGGCGTCGTGGTGGTGAGCGCTCCGACCGTCTTGGCGGTGACCGCGATCGTGATTCCTTCCGGCGAAACGACGGACCCCGCCGTGACGATGATCGCGGTGGCTTCCGTCGCGATGATCAGCCCCAACGTGAAACAGGCAGCAACTGGCGCGATTCGCCACGTCAGAACGATCGTGATAATCGCCGTCCGACTGGTGAGAGACGCGATGTGCGCGGTGCTGGACCTAAGGAAGGCGGTGGTGGCGTCAGCGGAGGTGGTGCTGCTGGTGGTGCTGGTGGAGGTGGTGGTAATTGGCGTACTGCTCCATCTCCACGTGAGGAGAAAGCCCCACCCAAGCGAGAACAGGCACAGGACAAGGGTGAGTTTTAAATAATCCAATATCATAAATACACAAAAATTAATATAATTTGTTTTTCCTTTGCAGAAAATAAAGCCGGCGACGATGGCGAATGGACTAGCGTTAAACGGCGTTAATTATTTATATAAATATCTTCCGCATTGTCGTTAAACACACAGCAGATTAACCTGTACCCACTTTTTTTAATATAATATATGTACACATAACGTATTCTCATTGAAACGAAATATGCGCTAATCGTCCCGATAAAATGTTAATGCTTTGGGCACATTTTTAAAAAGCTCTGCCCAAAAGCCTAGCAATTCCTCTTTCAAAATATTTATATTCGTATGCCAGTAGCCCGACCTTGTCTCTCTGTCTGCCGAATTAAAGTCCATACTAATAAATCTGAATAGCAACAACTTTCGAGTTTCAACGAAATTATAATTATTTTAGATAGGATAGATTTCAGGAATACATCTGGGTAACTCCCAAAAGTAATGAGTATAACTATGAAGCGGTGTGAACAATTTTTGGAGTTCATAAAAAATCGTATTGAGCTCAGAGAACGTTATCGTTGCTTGAGAAATGGAGCGTTAATATACGCCACGTTTTATTATATTAATATTTATTGAAACAGTGAAATATGCATTTACCAGTTTTGCTCTGTTGTGCACATGTTATTCATGCCCATGAATTGCTCGCAAATTAAAATTGGAGCATGTTTTAAATCACCTTTACATTAATGCCATTTTGAAACAGACTGCAACAAAAATAAAAAAAAAATCTGTTAACTTATAACGGCAGTTTTCCCCTTTTTTTACAGTCGCTGTTAATAGCAGTTCAGTTGATGTTATTGAACAGGTCGCTGTCTGAGAAACAGCTGTAAAGAAAAACAGAGACAACGGTCACATTCTTCAAATAAAATTATTCCCCGCGGTTCGCGTCCACGTGAACACATTTCAGCAATGTGATTCGTAAAGTTATTAGATAAAAATCCTATAAAAACTGTGTAGTGTTTGCTAATTAATTTAAACTTAAATAATAAACAAAAGCAGCAACAAAGTCTTCAATCTTAATCAATTTAAATAATTGAAATAGTGTGTGCGTTGGCGTTGCAGACGCGGCGCTCAACATGTGAGGTTAAAGCAGACAAACAGACAACGGCAACAAATAATTCAAGACAATTTAAAAACATTGATTTACCTATCAATTACAACATAGGGTAATACAGCATCCTTTAAAGGTAATATACTATTAGTGTTGAAAATCAAACATGGACAGGTGCTCCTGCCGCCAGCAAGTGCAAATGATATTAGAGCTTAAACAAAAAAAAATTCGCTTGGAACTGCTAGCGATGTAGAGGGCTCGCATTTCGTCGTCTGCCATCTCCTGCCACTTATTTATCATGAAAACAGCTTTCTAAACAAAACGCTTGAGTGTAGTGAGTGTCTGAAATGTGATAGTAAAGTTTAACGAATATCGAATAGATTGTTGTTGAGCATCAGCATACATATGCGTGCACCTACACAGTCGAATACAAATATTTTAAAAGCAAAAGCACATGGTGCGGCGGCGGCACTCACACACACGTGGTCGTGCCATTAGCGTTGTGTGTGTGCGTGCGTGCTGTATTTGCCTATGTATGTATGTGTGTGTGCGGTGTTTGTTGTTATTGTTTTCTCTGATGCTAGTCGGTTTGCTCAAAAATGATTTATGAATTCCCCTTAAATGTGATCACTAAACTTATAAATTGTGTCCATTTTTAAGATATAAAATACTTTAAAAACAAATATAAACATGGGGATGCGGCATTTGAATTGCGGCATCTCGAAGGGTAGAAACAACAGCATGTTGCTTGCTAAAAACGTGCCACGCTGCTTTTTGCCATTCCTTTTTGTGCTACTATTTGGTGCATTTTCAGCGTTGCCAACTTGTTGTCGTATGCGCGCCTAAATGAAAATGTTATCGATTTCGAAATTACATGCACGTGGATACAACGGATACGGACGTCTTTTGAGTGGACCCTTCTCAGTCACAATTCAATTATTTACTTATTATACCAGGCGCAGAGTGGCTACCCTTAAAAATTACCAAAATAGAAGTTTAATTTCAGTTTGTCATACATATGTAAAAATTTGGAAGTTTTCGTGTGTATTTTGGTTTGTGGTTGACATATTAAGCAACATATATCTGCACTGTAACCATTGGTAACATACAATTGCGTACATCGTCATAAATTTAATTAAATTTAAGTATATTTGTTTGGTTCCTTTGAGTGTCTTTGGCGACGGGTGGCTATCATATCGTGCTTAGTCCTCATGCGTTGCATCAGCTGCTCGTGATTTTTCTCCAGCTGCTCCAGCTGTTGTTCCAATTTATCAGTCACGCCCGGCTCCAGCACCAAATAATTCTGGACCTGCACGTTTCTAGCTGCCAAACTGTTGAGCTGCGAGGACAATTGCTCTTCGTTGCCGGTCAAGATAAAGTAACCAGTATTTCCTATAATTTTGGGTGGAGGTGCATCTACAGGTGCCACTGAGAGCTGCTGGATGGCAGTCGATATGTCAGCCACTTTGGCTGACTGTTTGGGTTTGTTCGGAGGCTTTGAAAATTTTGGTCCTTCGTTTGCCCTTACCTTCATTCCTGTGTTAGCTTGCATTTCTGCAAAGGTATCACATTTTTGTGTTGTCTTGGTTGTGGCAACCAATTGCGCGGATTTTGTTAGTTTGGTTGATGCAATTTGTCCTGTGGTCTTATTTGCAATGCTTGGCTTATTTTTTTGTTGCTTTGCCTCGTTTTTCTTTATTAGCTGTTCCGTTGCCTTAATTTTGGAGTTCTGCTTGTTGAGTTGTTTTATTTTCTTGAGCACATCCTTCTCCAGCAGCTTCTCCTTTTTCTCCAGCATTTGGATTATGCGCCGCCGAGTCGCTACCGAAGGTGGCTGCGTGGTTTTGCTGTCATCTTCAAATTTGGCCTCCACTGGCAGCCCTATTGGGTTATTATCATTAGTGGTATTATTATTATTGATAATATTATTTCGTCCAGGCGATAAGGAGCGCAGATGGTTGGGTGGGAGACGCCTGTTGGCATTCTTGCAGACTTTCTTCTCATTTGCGCGTTTCTTGCCCGCCAAGAGCTGATTTAATACCACTTTGCAGAACTCGCAGCTACAGGTTTTGTTTGCTTTATTATCGCTGCCCGGGGGCCCACTGAGAGCAGTCTTCACGGTCTCATCCAGTTGAGCGCTTGATAAATTCATTGGTTCGGCCACTTTAGCTGGTGGAGTTTTGTAATTCATCTTTTTGTTGAAAACTTTCGAGAGCTTCTGAATTTTGGTAAATGTTGCAACCGCACGTCGGGTTAAGGACTTGCTGAACGAGCCCTGCTCATTGGGCGGTGGTGGTGGCGGCATGGCGCCCTCTGCTCCGTTGGCAACCTGCTTCTGAATATTCTCATCGACGAGCAAATCGAATACTTTCTTATCCGACTGTGTGGTCTTGTCCTTAACGATAATTGTCACTGTCGTCTTGCCCTCTGGATTTAGTTCTGCTCCCTCTGCTGCTGGCTGCTGCGATTGGGTGGTCTTTGAGCTGGTTGGTTTTGCAGATGGCTGTTTGCCGGCGATTTTAGGCTCCGGCTTGACACCACTGCATGACGGTTTGATATCCAGCGTGTTTGTCGCCAGCGGAACAACATTTCCATTTCCATTCTGAGCCTCCGGCGAAATACGCGCATTTTTCTCGGATTGGCGCTTTGCCTCTGCCGCCTTGCGCTGACGTCGAGTAATTACCTTTTTGGGCATTACACTCTTTTTTAAAATAAATTTTAAAAAAAATTTGGATATATTGCTTGAAAAATCGACTGCGCTATAAATACTTGTTGTCTGCTGCGCTCTTGACGTTGGTCGAACAAACTCACAGATTTTCAGCTATTATATGCTAAGGGATATTAAATACCAGGCCTACTTGCTTTTTGAATTCTTGCTTTTTATTAACTAAAAAGTTGAATTATTACAGTGTAAGTTCTACTATTTTACAAAAAATTACAGTTTTTCTCACTTACAATTGCAGACCTACTTTTATGAACTCACCTATTATGGATTCACGTATGCTAAATGTGTTTCACGAGGATCATTACGAGGGGAACTTTGTCAAATATGATCCAGAGCCTAGTTTCTGGTCAGCCAATGATGAGTATGTGCTTGCTTTACAAATAAATACCACATTTACTCATGTTTATCTTATAATCCATAAACAGTTTGCAACTTACGGACACGCTGAATGGCATTCTGCCTATTGCGCCCACAGATGAAACGCTGCTCAGTCCAAATGAGGCCGAGGAGCAGCTGCAGCATAGAAAAAACTTGGTAATGTCTGGAATATTCATTTTATAGAATCACTCTAATTAACCTGTTTTCGACCGCAGCTCATCTATAGCGACTTTGTGGAGCAAGAGCTAAGCGACGATGCAAACGGGCTCAATGGTCAGGTCTATAGGGCCATCACAGACTGCGAGGCCGAGGCGGCTTTTGAGCAGCAGCGTCAGCTCAGCGCGTTGATTGATTCTGATGACGAGGACGCCGCCCGAGAGCCGGAGGACGACGATATACTGAGCCAGTGCAGCAATTCCACATTTCGCACACGCACCGACAGCTCTTCAATAGGGGATTATGAGTCACACTCCAGCGATTACGATGAGATTGATGAACGCCTGCTGCCTGTTGAAGCATTTCCCTTGCAGGAGGAGCGCAAACAACGCACACTTAGCACAAACACTCTCTGCTCTGAATCGGATGCTCTGGGACTGAATATTGATGTGAATAATTTTGATTTGGCTGAATTTATCACAAAAGATGATTTTGCCGATAATTTAAATGCACTGTCTACGAAGAATGCCCACCATGTAAAACCCATGGTAGACGCAGCAACTCCTATTAATTTACAAACAGCTTTAGTCGAACCCAAGAAACCACAAGTAATTGCAGCTGAGAGGCCAGTCGCAGTGCTCCCGAAGCCTGTGATTATATCATCCAAGAGTCGTGATTCCGATTATGACTCGGACTCAATTATCGATGTAGAGACCGTCGATGTGATCGATGTGGATGAGTCTTTGTGGGTGGCCAAACAAATTGAAGAGCCCGCCGCCACAGATGATTTGTGCTATGTGGACAATGTAAAGGCCGATCCATCCTGGTGTCCTAAGCAGGCCAAGCGTTCAGTTACCGCTGAGGTGAGTACAAAAAGGTGTACAATAAACATTTTGAAGCATGTTAATCATTCTTCAAATGATGTCTCCACATAGCACAAGGCAGCATCAGTTCACAATCAAAACGCAGCCAAGGCAGCGAGCGTTGTAGTTCCTCCTGCAGCAGTAGCGGCAGTGACAGCACCAATTTCACAAGCAGCCGCTGTCAAAGCGA